TTTTTTTTTTTTTTTTTTTTTTTTTTTTTTTTTTTAAACAGACCCTTAAGGTCCTGGCTGCTATTTCCATTCTGGGGAGCATCAGTCCGGTTCCTATTCCACCGGGGCTCTATCTTAAATGTACCTGACCACATTTAATGCCTGACTTGTCTGCGTCTGAAAGCAAAACAAATGTTAATAAATAACTGAAAAAGTCCTAGTGCGAGTACACCCTGAAGAGTAGAAAGGGGGAAGAAGAAAGCATAAAAAAAATGGACGACGGTGCTGGTTTTGCAGGAAACAAAGACAGTCAAGAACGACGGGAAGACGAAGGCATCAGAATGTTAACTGTGGTGAAAATGTTAACCATGGTGAAAATGTTCACCATGTTAACCATGGTGAAAACGTTAACCATGGTCGTATCAATCATTTCGACTTTCATTTGGGTCAATTTCTTTGGTGAGTGTGAAATTGAAAAGCTGAATGCTTCCTCAAGGGTAGTAGGCTTAGTGGTACAAATGAAACGAATGGCGTCGAATGCTAATTAATGAAGTTAGGAAAGGACCACAACCAGTTTGGTTGCCATCCTTAAATCAAGAACAATCTGATAAGTTAGGTAATATGTTAACATGTTGTGCTCATGGTTACATGGATGTTCTCTCTTCGTCTCATCCTGCCAGTGGGGCAGCGGCCACAGTGTTTGTCTCTGTGTGTCTCTGTGTGTCTCTGTGTGTACGTGTGTCTATCTGTGTGTTTGGGGCAGCGGCCACAGCCTTCAGAATGCAGTGTGTGTCTCTGTGTGTCTATGTGTGTACGTGTGTCTATCTGTGTGTGTGTGTGTGTGTGTGTGTGTGTGTGTGAGAGAGAGAGAGAGAGAGAGAGACAGAGACAGAGACAGAGGGAGAAGAATGGGCCACTGTGTGTGGTGGTGACACTGCTCCTCTGAATGCAGTTGCAGATGAATGGTGAAAATTGACTGCTCCCCCCCTGGGAACCGAACGTATGACCCTCAGAATTAAAGTGTCCGATTTTATTTTGAACAACCTACGACGATAACTCTCACCATTCTCTAATTTTGTGTTCCTTTCCTTCCATGTGTGTTTTGATAGATGGTACCATTCTCTTATTGGCCACGACAACTGCCCAATTGCCGACACGTGGTGGCAGACGGAAACTGGAAGCATCATGGTGAGCTTTACTCTGGCATTCACTTCAAACTCGTAGAAAGCAAATATGATGTGACCCTTCCTTGAGTCTCCGCTGGCTTTTCATGTCTTTTGAACGAGGCACACTGCACAGAACTGTCTTTGTGGGAACAGTGCGGAACACTGCACAGAGCTGTCTTTGTGGCATCAGTGAAGGAGAGAGGAAGATATGAGCGTCGATGCTTGTCAATAATGACATCACAGTTTTGTAGAGACAGTATCGATCTCTGATCTCCTGCTTGGCTGTTTTTTTACTTTGTTTCCCTGCATATGTTATGTGCCAGATTTCTCCATTGCCAGGTGCTTGGCCGTTGAAACCAGGATGTGCGACGCTGCCGTTCTTTGGTGTTGATGTTGCAGTCCTTGATGAGAACGGCAAAGAGCTGGAGGTAGGTGGGAATATGTCAGACCATCCAGTTTGGCTGCACCAGATGTAATGTTCTTCCTGAGGGATGTGATTCTGCAGCCTGGTTTAACCTTCACTCATCCATGTGTACTTAATGATTTAACAGAGGCTTACATGCCAGTGCAGGTAGAGGAGAGGCATCACCCAGAAGTCTTATTCCTGCAAGTGGCCGTAACTCATGCGATCGGAAAAGGTGCTGCTTACATGCAGAAGGGCAATGGTTCAAGTTCTCTCGACCAGAAAGGGAACCTATGCAGCCTCGACTAGTGTGCATGATATGGAGTAGCGGCAAGGTCTTTAGGAACAGTTTGGTGCTTTGGGATTTGTTTTCATGGAATATCTCTCTCTCTCTCTCTCTCTCTCTCTCTCTCTCTCTCTCTCTCTCTCTCTCTCTCTCTCTCTCTCTCTCTCTCTCTCTCTCTCTCTCTCTCTCTCTCTCTCTCTCTCTCTCTCTCTCTCTTGCCTGTGCATGGTGGACGATCAAAGATGTTTTGGGATTACTGTTCCCTTCAACTATAAATGCATTCCCAAAAAGTGGTTGGCACAACACTCCCTTTTTGGATTTGGGCCGTCTTATTTGTTCTGGGAAAATTTCGCTCCAGTGCTTGCTCGGTGGTGATTTGTCTACTTGATTTTCTTTCTCTCTATTCTGTTCTCTCACCTCTCTTGAGTTCCAGTGTCCGTTCATTACCCAAAACGGGCCTTCAATGCTAGGGTGTACTTTGAAAGGCACGAGGTTACGGATCTGCAGCAATGCCACGTCAGTCGAAGGCATTTCTCTATAAAATAGAAGTCTGGTTGTCCACTTTGTCTGTGCAGCTTTATACTGTCGAGCTGTATCTAAAATCTCCAAACTTGCTTTGAGGAGCGAATTTGGTATATTAACTAGATATATTTCAATCATGGCTGTTAACCGGACGTCCAGATTGGGATCCAGACGGTCCGGTCTGGATGTCCGGATCCGGTGTCCGGTTTGGGGGTTTCCGGTTGGGCCCCATTTCTAGAAAATTTGAATTTTTTTGGGGGGTTCCCCTGGCGATTTTCCAGTGCCTGGTGGACCCCCGAAAATTGTTGGCGCAGTTTTTGGTGGACCATTGGGCCAACCGGACGAGCCCTGAAGGGCCTGTACTTGCAATTGAGGGTGAGCTTCAGCAGGCCAAGGAGAACTGGTTGTGTGTGTGTGTGTGTGTGTGTGTGTGTGTGTCTGCGCCACACTGTGTGCGTATGTGAGCGTGTTCAAGATAAGTCGGATAATACAACTACAGCAGCATGTCTGTCTGTTTTTTCTCTTTTCTTTTTTAATCTCTTTATTATCATCCGGACATCCGGACGTGTTCGCTCATAACCGGACCGTCCGGGTCCGTATGTCCGGTTGTCCGGATCTCTGTCTGGATGTCCGGGTCCGGGGCAACCATGATTTCCATCCTACCTTCGTAATCAATTGGGCTCGACCTGCATCTGCGATCCATAGATAAGCTGCTGCCTTCTTTTTGATCTGTTTGGTGAAGTCTTTTGGCGGATTCCAGATTCAAGCCGCGTGCCAAAGCACGAAAAATAGACGCATTAGTAACCAGAGCCCCTCCTATAATTGATATATATACAGTTTTTTGCCATCCAATAAGTTTGTTAATAACTTTGGGTAGAAGACGGGATGCCATTTGATCACTTGTTCCTTGGGTACGGACCATGCCTCCTAGAATGTTTATCTGTTGAGTTCGTTAATAACTTCGGCTACAGGATTGGATGTCATTTGATCACTTGTTCCTTGGGTACGGACCATGACGCCTATAATTTTTTTTTTCTGAAGGGTCCTTAACTTAATGTTCACTCGTCCAGTGCATCGTAATGGATGCATCGTAGTGGACTGCACTCGGGTCATGGTTGGTAAATGGGGTATCTGACATCCGAAAGGCTTGCATTGCCCTTGTCACTGTTGTCAGTGAGTTTGTTAATAACTTTGGCTAGAAGATTGGATACCATTTGATCGCTTGTTCACTGGGTACTGGCCGTAACAACTCCTAGAAATTTGAAGGGTTCTGAACTTCTTGTTCATTCATCCATTGCATTGCCCTTGCATTGCCCTTGTGAGTGTGTCTAAGGAAGAATCCGACGCCCTAATAAGGACGGTGAAGTCATCTGACCTAACAAGGACTGTAGGGAATCGAATGCTGCATACTGTTTCATGTTTTTGGTCAATTACAGGTCTATCGATGAAAAACATACGCCCTAATAAGGACGGTGAAGTCATCTGAAAAAAGCATGACTGTAGGGAATGGAATGCACCATCCTGTTTCATGTTTTTGGTCAATTACAGGTCTATCGATGGAAGGATGCTTTTTAAAAAAGGTGGCTATAGCCTCCATAACAAGAGGAAAAATTGGGGCCGCAGGGGGTCCTCTTATCTCGCTGATCTGGTCATCCTATGGTTCAGATAAATGACCATTAACCTGAACTATCCCTCGGGTATCCGCATGTAGAACCTTAACCTAACATCTAAACCGTGTCCCTACAGGACCCTACCCCCATTTTCTCTTTTCTTCACCCCTCCCCCCCCCCACCATTTTAGCCATGCAAAGGTCCAAAAATCCCAAGTTAACCTGATCTTAGGCTTTTTCCAGCAGGTGATGCTCCCCACCAATAAGACGGACCGACCAACAGTAGGCCTACTCGGCGAGCCTGGTCATATCATCGCCTCCCCCCCCCCCCGGTAGACCTAGTCCGTCCTTCGTCTGAAACAAAAAGAAAAAGGTTTTTTGTCCAATTTTTTAGCCTTTTTCAAAATAAAAAAATGAAATGGCTGCCTTCTCTGAGCTCTCCACTATCTTTTTAATTGGTTTTGTAACTTTTGTTGCTTCGATCAAATTTAGTATTTACTACATTATCAAGTGTATCCCTGAGAGTGCTAGCGGTGTCTGCTCTTACCAGCACCCCTAGCACCACCCCGGGTGTTATACGACTGCTATCATATTTCTCTGCATGGTTCATGAAGCCTGTCTATCTTCAAGTGCTGAAATGTACGACCGCTGAGGCTGCTCCTTGTCTTTCAATCATTGGATTACAGGGCGAGTGCAGTGGATACCTTGTGATCAAATCGGCTTGGCCAAGTTGTATGAGGACAGTAAAGAATGATCATGAGAGATTTGAGCAAACATACTTCTCCGCGTTTGAGGTAAATCTGAGCTTTCTGCATCCCTTCCCTTAACTGCTGCAACACGGTTCGGAGCATGCCATTGAGACAGTCGTGATTGACTTGGCTGTGTGCCAGTCAAGTCAATCTGCGCTTTCTTTCTTTTTCTATCTTGGTAAATCGAACTACTCCACCAATTTAGTATAGTAATGCACAGTCGACAGTGCAGAGTCGTTGCTGACACACACAGAACAACGGTGCTTTATCCCTCCATGTATTTGCTGTGAGTACCAATTTTTGTCATCGGACCATCGGTCATAAAGTTGTCGATAATAAACTAGAATGCATAAATTGGGAGTGATAGTAAGAGAGTGATGCTATAGTCCGAATAGATTGGGCAGGTTGTAATGACCTACTCCGCATGGTTGGCAATCAGACCTGACATCAATTTCTTTCCGGCACCCTGAAGGAGGAGGCCGGGTAGGGATGCCAGTTGCTTAAAGCATGCACAAGGGCTAGTGTGAACAACAAGAAGCATTTGGAGGGAAACCATCCAACCACCGGGGGAGGGGAGAGAGAGAGAGAGAGAGAGAGAGAGAGAGAGAGGGAGAGAGGAGGGAGGAAAAGGGAAGCGGAAATAAGATCTGGATCGATGTTCAATACCTAATATAGGGAACACAATCTTCTAAGATCAAGGGCAGCAAGTGTATGGCTCAAGTCACAATAACAACAGCACGCATATGATATGTTCGTTTTTTCTTAAACTTTCGTATGTCCAATGGTAGTTTAAAGCTGCAAGTGCAAGTAATCACTGTCATATTGACTTGATAATTTCAATGGCTTGTTGGTTTGACAGGGGTATTACTTCACTGGGGATGGGTGCAAACGAGACCAGGATGGCTTCTACTGGCTAACGGGCCGAGTGGATGATGTCATCAACGTGAGGTGGGGTGTTTTTTTTCCCCCCGCTTCTGTAAAGAAAATGCACTACTGTTTTTGAAGTTTTCCCTTTTTTAAACAAGAAGGAACGAGGTCGGGCAACCTCACAACAAGCACAAAAGAAAATACTGAGGGCATACTCACACTAGGACCTTTTGAATGACACCAATTTGCCCTACGGCCTCGTGTCTAACATCCAAGAGGAGGCCACCTGATCTTTTTTTTTTTTTTTTTTTCCTGGGAGGTTCCTGGAACGGTTTTCACCTTTGCAGTAGCAGACACAGATCCCAGGGCTCGATCCCTAGACCTTGCCCTCACCCGTGTACAGTACCAAGTCGACCCCTGTGTGTTTGAACCCATGACCTGTGTTTTGGTAGTCGTCTGTTGTCTGTCGCAGGTTAGTGTGGTCGTCGGGTCTTGAACCGTAGGTCTGTCAAGTGGGGATCGTAGCGGTGTAGAAGTCGTAGCTGCCACAGTCCTGAAAGGTCAAGGTCGTAGCTGCTACAGTCCTGAAAGGCCAACTCTACAGACTTTCGGAAGGTCCGGAAGTGACCTCTCGAGAATTGCTCATGTTAGGCTAGAGGCAAGTGGGCAAGTGGGCAGTCCAACCTCGCCTAGTCAGCGGCACCCAGTCCCAGTCGCACTTTGTCCAGTCAGCAAGTACCATGTGGGACTGTGTGCACCCTGGGCCCGGTGGGAAGCGGCAGACCAGCGACCAACCAAAGTATAAATCAAGAGGCAGCGTCCAGTCATTCATTCGTTCTGCCTGTGAGCCGTGCGGAAGTGCTGCCTGAGCGTCTTGTGCAAAGAGGTCTGCAGGTGCCCGAAGGAGAAGTGGGCTGTGAACGAGACGAAGCAGCCATCGCCGCCAGTGAGTAGGGAAGGTAGAAGGCAGCCATAGCTGCCCTAGGTTATAGGTAGGCTGTAGCGTGTAAGTGCGAGTGTTATGTCCAGTGTGGGAGATCCAGAGTAGCGTGCGTGTGAACAGTCGCTGGGAATATAGTGTCGGCTGGATGTTGTGTGGGCGCACAGGCGCCATGGCCATCGGAAGCAAGTTTGAATCTGAACTGTGTTCTTGGCCTCGATGTCTCTGAGCTTTGCGTGAGCGCCTGGCGCCAGTGTGTTTTTCATATGTTTTCGTGCATGCTGAGTGAAGACGAAGACGAGTCTGGTTGGAGTTCTAGTTGGCCACAAAGCAATGTTGCCAACCGTTGCGCACTCTCACCTACCTTCCTCTCCCCAGTCCGCCTGTATCGAAGCACAAGATGCTTGTGGTCCCATCTCATCTGGGACCAGAAAAAGGGGACTGTGGTTTCCTTATTCGACATCTCTTGTCCTTCAAATGTGAATCTGTGTCTACCTTTTCAGATCTCCGTGAATCTAGTTGCTCTAAATGCCAGAGCAATTCTTTGTGCGACATAGCCCCACCCCTGATCCAGACTCGGGAAATCTTGAAATATCCCTCCCTGGGCAGAACCTAATTCACAGGTCCTTATGGTCCTCGCTCCTTATCCATTCTGGGGACCATCGGTCCGGTTCTGGCCTTCCATTCAGTGAGCATCAGTCAGGTTCTGCCCTTCAATTCGGCCTTCTAGTTGGGCATCCAGATGTTCAGGTATCTGGATGCCTGATGGCAGTGCAGACACACACACAGACACACACACACACCTGTCTCTTATACACATCTAGATGTGTATAAGAGGCGGAGGCCAGGGAGACTTACCTGTGGCGCCATAG